GTCTCAGTTGGATCTCTAGTCTATTTTGGATTTTGGTCATTTTTGGACTTTGGCTCCCTGCCCTGGATTACTTCTTCGTTTCATCCTTCAAAAATAAAGGATTTTACTTTACATCATCTCTTGCCTCGTGTCATCCTGGGTACTGCATTTTGGGTCCTACAAACCTCGTATCGTGACACTAGCACTCTTGGGTGTTTTACAATAGGGAGCACTTACTACACTTATTACGGTAGTATATCTCCGGTTGCGGTTATAGTTCTGAACGACTTTTTAAAGGCAGTAAAATGCCACGATTGACTTATTATTCCCTTCACACATACATTTCACTGTAATATTAAGTTGTTGGTAATTGGAAAACGTAGCTTGAGAAATTTTTGCTTCTAATTCATCGTTAGCGTTGTTAGCTCAATGTTAGCCTCTAGCCTGCTTCACCCATTATTAGAGTAAAATAAAAGGATGCTGTGGCTTCTTAGGGGTACAAGATATAACTTCTGGGTTGCTCCTGTTTACTGGCTTCTGTTCATTAAACAATTCTGGTGCTTTTTGCCTATCGGTGTCAAACTACAGCGTTAGCTCGGTGCAGACTTGGCAACTTCGTGGGCTCAGAGATTGTAAATATTTAGTCACAATGTTCCTCTTTAGTTTTTTGAAAGAAGCAAAAATGACTAAAAAATGAGCACCACCTCACTCCTGCCACATGGACCTCAAGGGATGAACAATCAGTCCTGCTCAATGGTCAACTTTTGTTGCAGGGTCACTCATAAAGACAGTGGGAGGGCTAGAGCAGTGATGTTTTGGGGCTGTCGCTAGGCAACAAACTTTCAATTGCCTCCAAAGAATTTCTATGGGGTTGAGATCTGGAGACTGGCTAGGCCACTCCAGGACCTTGAAATGAGTCGTACGAAGCCACTCCTTCATTACCCAGGTGTGGTGTCTGGAATCATTGTCATGCTGAAAGATCCAGCCACGTTTATTCTTCAAAGACCTTGCTGATGGAAGGTTTTCACTCAAAATCTGACAATACGTGGCCCCATTCATTCGTTCCACAGTCGTCCTGGTATCTTTGCAGAAAAACAGCCCCAAAACATGAGGTTTCCACTCCCGTGCCATACAGTAGGCGTGGTATTCTTTCAGCATTCTTTCTCCTTCAAACACCAGAGATTTTCCCAAAAGTTCCATTTTGGTTTCATCTGACCATATGATATTCCCTCAGTTCTCTTCTGGATCATCCAGATGCTCTCTAGCAAACTTCAGACACATGCACATGCACTGGCTTAAGCAGGAGGATACGTTTTGCACTGCAGGATGAGTCCCTGGTGCAGTAGTGTGTCACTGATGGTGGCCTTTGTAACTTTGCTCCCAGCTAGGATTCATTCTGGGACTTATACTCACTGTTCTTGGATTATTTTGTCCCCACAGGGTGAGATCTTGCATGGAGCCCCTGAAGGAGAGAAATTATTAGTGGTCTTGTATGTTTTCCACTTTCTAATAATTGCTCCCGCAGTTGATTTTTTCACACCAAGCTGCTCACCTATTGCAGATTCGGTCTTCCTAGCCTGGTGCAGGTTTACAACTTTGTTTCTGGTGTCCATTGACAGCACTTTGGTCTTGGCCATAGTAGGGTTTGGAGTATGACTGTTTGATGTTGTGGACAGGTGTCTTTTTTACTGATAAGTTCTAGCAGGTGCCATTAATACAGGTAATGAGTGGAGGACAGAGGAACCTCTTACATGCTAAAATTCATGAGTAGTGCCAGTTTGTGTAGTTTATTAACCCATTTCAGAAGTTCTTAATTTTCTTATTGCTTTTTAAAATAATAACTAATGTTATTATAAAGATAGTGGAGTTGCATGTAGTGACAGTGTTGGAATGCAAATGGTCTGCCAGCTCAGTGATGGTTAAATGGGTTTTGCAGAGCAAAATCACAGCATAGGAGGTTTTTGTCCTCTTCCTCATGTTGACGACACCTAACCCTGAAAAGCCCTTCAGAGCTGTCTGGTTAAACGTGCCATGCAACAACGACAGTTGAGTGATTTTATAATACTGGACACAGTTCCCCTCAAGCACAGTTTAGATGCAGGTGACAGAAAGAAAATCCACATGCGTGGAATTAAATGAATGATGTTGGTGAAAATCTGTCAGCATACATCCAAATTTATTTTCGCATTCTGAATCCAAAACTAAGAAGAAGGGAGCTGATTTAAGGAGCTCTAATAGAAGGACTTTCATACGTGTTGGTACAGAAATGACATTCATGATGACACGAATAGACGGCTTGGTAAACAACGAAATGACTATAAAGTGTGCCTCTGCATTCATAACATGACAGTCCAGTTAACCTTTAGCCTTTTCTAGTTGTGTGTGTGTGTGTGTGTGTGTGTGTGTGTGTGTGTGTGTGTGTGTGTGTGTGTGTGTGTGTCCCACCTGCTGTTTTATCTCTCTCCACCCCTGCAATTATGACAGCATAGCAGGGGGTTGCCATCAGGAGGGCACCACTTTTTCTGTGAGCCATGTCTGACTGTCACCCCCCACCCACCCCTGACACATACACACACAGAGAGAATCTTGAGCATAGAGATTTTAATGCAAGTGATGACTTCCAGCTGCAGTGAGGACAGCCGTGATGCGTGGACAAAGGGAAGAACCAGAGTGTGTGATCGTCAGCAGCTTTTTCATTTCAGAGGTCCGAGCACAGGAGTAATTACCACTGACATTTCAGAGAAATATTGCTATTTATAAGAGGGTAGCTTCGGGAAATGAAACAACCTGAAGACTGAGGCCAGCCATTCAACAGTCCTAAGTTATTAAAATGAACCACTACTGCTACAGAGCTTCCTTCCCTTCAGTGTGCCTCTCTGCTTCCCATGATTTCAACACATAAAGCAAAAACTGCTGCTGCTTTGTTTACAGTGTTTCGATAATGATTCAGAGTAATGCTGAATATGCTTCAAATCAAATAATAATAATAATGTAATCATAAGTTACTTTATTTTACCTGATACTAAACTTCTTGGCAAAAGCTGATCTGCCTAAAAGTTTGAGATAATTCCCTCACCATCCCCCGCCCAAACACACAGGAGCTGACAGACTGAATGCAACACTCCTAGTAAACTATACATATGTTGTTTGTTTGACTTTTCATGTAATTTTTCACTAATTCTACTGAACACAGCAGAAGTATTCATTTGTGAGCGGAACAAGCTAGCTGAATCTTAGTATAACACTCCCCCCTGCTGGTCATCACAGTCAACAACATCGTCAGCTGATGACGTTAGCTACACGTGACTATAGAAAGCACATTCCTGTGATTCTAGTACTTTACTAAAACAATAGTCAGTGAAAATTGATTTTCAACTTAAAAAATAAAAAAATGTATTGTTTAAATTGAGCATGTGTTTTTTATTTTTGTACCTTGGACCAAAAATAAATGTATGAGTCACAATTAAATATGCAACAAATTTCCTGCTATCTGACAGTTTAATAGGATGAAAATATGTTTTAATTACAAAGTAGGACACCAATTTTTTACACAGATGTAGAAAGGGTTGCATGGGTGTCATTGCGTTTTGTGGGTTCAAATCCCAGCTCCAGCCTGTCTGCATAAAATTAGCATGTTCTCCCAATGCATATGTGGATTTACTTCAGGTATGCTGGTGCATGTTAGGTACTTGTCAGTTGCTTTGGATGGAAGCATCTAATAAATGGTTGAAATAAACAAATGGATGGGCAGAGTTAAAAGAAAATATATTTGACAAAACCCTCCGTTTGCATCATTTAGTGCTGCCATGTGGATTTCTACTGCCTCTAGAACACTTGAAACATAAAAAACCCATCCACCCTGTTTGTGACTTTTTGGTTTAAGGAATTATGTGCCTAAATCAAGCTGTTTCAAAAGTCCCTGTTTGTAATGTCACAAATAACCCTGTCTCATCTGAAGGGGAAAGATACTACTGGAGGAGCAGCTGCTCAACTCCAAACTCCTCCTGGATATGAGCTTCTCAGCCTATAGTAGCCTGAACTGGGGATGGGTGGGCATACCTAGCTCCCGCTTTTTTTCTTGAAGTAACAAAGCCTTGAATCAGCTCATTCTGGAAGGTACTAAAACCATCAATAATTAAACTGCTGAAATCTCTTCACATGAAAGGATTTAGTGCAACAAACTTCATACACATGTGGTTAAGTGTATACAAGTTAAATTAGGATAAAAAAGAATAAAATAGTTATTTAATTATTGAGATAAATAGTTGAGCCGATGAAATACAACTGAGATTTTCTAAATGAATGGGCAGAAACACAGTGTTTGTTTGATTTCATATGCAGGTAAACATTAAACAGATATGTTACACATAACAAAAATTCGTTATTCTCCATAAAAAAAGTAACAAATGTTAATGTTGCATTTTTTTATTCAGACAAAAACAAGCATTTCAGTACAGTACCTCAATGTAATTAGTTAATTGGTAAAGGTAGTACCATGGTCTGATCCTGCTTCACAACACCTCAGTCACAAACGCTTATGGAATTATATTTATTTCTGGATGAAATGTTTGTGTATGTCTATTATTGGTTTTGAAGCAGCACCCTTTGGCTGATGAGTGTTAAAATGATCTAGTCTTTAGCTTTGCTGTATAATGGGACAAGTACCTAAAATGTCATAGATTTAACTGTAATATCTTTAGAAATTAGAAAAATGTAAATATGATGTAACTTGTGTGTTTACTTTATTTATTAGTTGTGTGTTTATTTAGTAATACACTTTTCACTACGTAGAATATTTCATTAAAAGTGAAATGGCCATATTCTACTACTATGTGTCGCTGTGGTCACGTAATGAAACCGTAAGTGATTTAAAAGTGAAAGGACCGTGTTCTACCAGTAGATGTCGCTGTTGGTTGCGTTACGTAACCACAAGTGAGCCAGGAACAGAACGAGAAGGGTCTCAGCCGCTGTGTGGCCGGGACGTCTTCCTTTTCTTTTATTTCCAGGCTATTGCGGAACAAATTTAAATTACTATATTAATTAACGACTTAATACTATAATTAATAGCTTGAAACTTTCGCAAGAAATGTTAGATAATTTGAGAAGCTAGCTGGCTCTAAACATGGCCATACATCTTTATTTTGTATATAGCTAAAGTAACTTGTCTGTGAGTTCGGTTTTATTAATGACCTACATTTAGCTAAAATATAAACCGCCGTGGTTTCTTGATGACCCATCATCGTCTCCATGCTTATTTCCGAAACCTGACTGAGATTCACTGAGCAACTACCCAGCCAGCCCCTCCCCCTCCTCCCTCGTCGCCGCTCCAACGACTCTCCCCTCGGCTCCACTCCGAGGAGGAACCCGGTGCCCCCGGCATATCGTTTCCAATTACGTTACCCCAAGATGGAGGTCTGCAGATGGCAGCGCTAACGTTGACGAGCCATTCTAACCGACCGTATGGCTTTCCCCATGCTTTTGTCGGGACGGGATTGATTGTGTGACACCGTTTTTGTGAGGGGTCTATTGGGAGAGACTCTTGAGCTCCAGGTTCGAGTTGAGGCCACCATGAGCTCCGGGGAAGGAGCGGAGGAGACGACGAAGGAGGCTAGTGATATAGAAGCATTCTTCAAAACCGGTAAGCCCCTAAGAGTCAGGAACTGAGCTTCAGTTGGTCCAGTCACGGGAAGGATATTGTTCCTATTCGTGTTGCTAGCGTTTATGCTTAAATTGGGTGTGTAGCCCGTGTATTTTATTGTTTTTGTCTCCAGTAAAATGCGAAATATATGTTAAAAAATAAAAAAGTGAAACTGTTTTGCAAATCGTTCAGATGCTTTTTGGGAGGCATTTTTTCCTGCTAGCTCAATGAAATAGCTTATCAAGTGTACACCCAAGTAAGGTTAGCTCGAAAGCTAACTTCTCGAGTTCCATCTTCGGACGCTACCCTGAATGTGTAGTTTCATGTCTGGCATTCTTAATAATTTTCAAACGAAATATCCAATGTTGTTGTCATTGCTTCTGCTGCTATTACTATTTCAACTCACATTCTTCGAGGGTAAAGGATATAAATAAATACTTGAATACAAAGTAATGTATGCTAATGTCAGTTTAGCCTGAAACGTTTGAAACCGACTTGTAAGTGGGTTTCTTACAACTGAATAGTTGATGCATATTTAAAGGGTAACAATGTTTTGTTGAATTCATAGTAAATTATGTCCGATAACGGACTGGTTGTGTAGTTTACGTGAATTAACTTGGGTTTTGAACGTTAGCATTTGAGCTAATGAAACCTAGGTCAGATTTAGTGAATCCTGCCTGATTGCTAACGAATGCTGGCTAGTTGAGCATTGCTAGCCTGGGAGTGACTAGACTAAACAGGCTCAATTCTTGACAGTTTATTCCAACATTGGTTAGAAACCTAGATTATGAGCGTTTGTTTAAATAACGCATTCTGGAGACTTGCTTGTGTTGTTTTCCATGCTGTCAGAAACAATTATCGTACAAGCTATGTAAACAATACACGGCGTGGCTTATAGCCTGGGTGTGCTCTGAGCAGGCCATATGATGCTTTCCCCCTTGTCACACTCTTGTTTCTTTGTAATAAAACCTGTAATATTAGCAACACTTCAATGTACAAAGTTGTATATGGTAATACTTTTTAGGTATATGTGCATAATCGTGAACAGCAGCTAAATAGGTTCATATAATAGACTGTTTGGATGGCTTAACCAAACCATGGGAAGCCTACAGACATTCCAGCGGCTGCAGCTGCTTTATGAACTGAATTCCTGAGCTCATCGTCATAAATGTGGGTTAAGTTGTATTCAAGCATGCTTTGGATACAGACATTGCATAAGGATGACATCCCGGACTATACATACCCTTTACCTTCTTTCCTGCAAGTATAAATGTTAACAGTTGAGTTAGGTCTGTTTTTGAGCATTAACATAAAAAATAATTTCTACTTATGGACCACTAAAACAAAGAAATAAACAAAGGAATTAATGTTCGCATATATTTCTATGGTGAAATATGCAAAAGTGTTCAATACTCATAACACTTTGAACTTTAATAAAATGCCAAACCATATACATTAGGTGCATTAGTAAAATTATTTCTTTGCCCACCATGTCTTGAACCTTATGGTACAAGTCCGATGTTTGATGAACAGCTAATGGTGTAAACCAGGGATATTCATTTTTGGGCCTGGAGGGCCAGTATCCAGCATGTTTTAGGCCCTGTCCACACGTAGCCGGGGATCTAACAAAACGTAGATATCTTTCTACGTTTTGGCCTGTCCTCCACACGAAAACTGAGTTTTTTCACACGAAAACGGATCTTTTTAAAAACTCCGGCCAAAGTGACGATCTGCGTTTTCTCCGTTTTGGGTGTCTGCGTGTGGACAGACAAAACCGGAGTTTTAAGGTCCGCAACGTCACTTTCCGCAACAAAAAATGCTGACATCACGTGTGCGACCTGTGTTTACACTAGCCGGCATCATGGAAGCCTTCAGAGCTGCGCTCTGTCACTACCCGATCCATCAATTGTCCAAGCGCTTTCTGCTTGTTTGTTTTTGCAAGCGGAATTACTGCTCCTTGCGGAAGACCACAGACGAAGGACGAGGTTAAGAACGGGGGAAGTGTTGCCGCCTACAGGTCTGGCATGTCCTTAACAACATATTTATCCGGGTACGTGTGGACAGAGGTTTTTTTTAAACGAGGTGGTGTGGATGCAAGTTTTTGGAGGGACGGATATTCGTTTTCAAAAAACCCGGCTACGTGTGGACTAGGCCTCAGTTTTAACTCCGTTTCAATCAACACACCTGATTTCTATCAGCAGGTGATTAACATGCTTCTGCATAGCCTGATGATCTGCTGCACAAGGGATTCAACCACCGAATCAATTGTGTTGGAGCAGAGAAACCACAAAAATGTGCTGGATACTGGCCCTTCAAAACTGGTATTGAATGCCCCTGGTGTAAACAAACGGAGAATGTAGCGTATTGACTTGCAGCCTCCAGCTGCCATTGTGTCTAGTGAGCCACAGAGGGAAGTTTGGTATCATTATTAGTTATGAGAGAGACACGAAGGAGGATCCTAAAACTTTAATGTAACCAAGCTGTGTTTGTTTTATTATGTTGCAAAAAGGGCTGGGCATTATTTAAAAAATGTATCGTTATCAAAATTTCTGACTCAATGTCGTTTTTCCCATGTCGATAAATTTAATAATTAATAAAATGAAAAATTGTGTGTAGGATGACCTCGTTCATGTCACTTTAAGAAGCTATACCACCTCCAGTCACAAGACAACATGACTCAATGTAAAACATGTTACACCCCCATCTAGTGGACAACTTTTTGTTTTTGTGCATGCATGTAGTTATTGTCCATTTATCGTTATTGAAGTGAACTCCTCAACATACTGTGATATTGCTTTTAGGCCATATTGCCCAGCCCTAGTTGCTAATCGACTGCTATTCTGCTTAATTTTTAATTTGTTCTATTGTTGTATTGCTAGAATATTAAACTTATTAGGAATGCTGCTACGTTTCTTTTGCAACAGTTTTATTATCGTACCTCTACCACTTTATCAATCAGAGTACATTCTGCTGCTTGCTAAACATCAGGGGCATGAAACACCAGCATCGTTAATATTCTTGACCAGTCTTGGTTTTTCTAGTTATTACAATTTTGGGCATGCATGACTCTTAGTATCAGTCAGTGCTAATGTGCAGTTTCAGCTTAAATTTAATTTCAAATGTGAGTTTTAGATGTTATTAATAGCTGCAAGAGGGTTTTGTTTCTTAAAGCCAAACCTGTTTCTGTTCCACATTGTTGCTAACAGCTGTAAAATTTGAGCGTGATTGTGCTGGTTTCACTAACAGCTACTTTTACTGTAGGTTACATCACTGGAGACTGAGGTATACTACAAGCATCATGCTGAGTTAGAGTAATCACGTTTTTTGGCATTTGGCATGGGAACTTCTGTATCAGGACAAACTCTTGATAATGATGACTTTGCTGCCAAACGGTCTGATAAAACAGCCTATAGCTCTGGTACGGTTGTTTAGGAACAGTCTGTAGTTTTTCGCATTGTAGATTTTGTCTAATTCTTGCTGATCTCAGTAGTTAAACCATTACTTGTTCAAGTATCGTTAAAGGTGCATGAAGTAAGAATGACATCCTGTGGTCATGTTTGTGTACTGCAGTCCATGTTTAAAAACGAACGAGTCACTAGCCTTCTGCTCTGGGTTTCATGGCTGTTGCCAGCTTCGGCTCAGCACCAGAATATTCTAGATGAGGAGTCATGCAGTAAGTTGATAAGTAGATAAATACATTTCACTGTAATGTTGAGTTGTTTGGAATTGAAAAAGTAGCTAGAGATTTTTTTAGAGCTGATTATTGTTTTTCTAATTCACCGTTAGCACTGTTAGCTCAATGTTAGTCTCTAGCCCTCTTTACCCAAAACTAGAGTATGACCCCCCTGCCAGCATATTTATTTATTTTAAATATTTTTACATGCACTAATTTAATATTTTAAGTGTTACATTAAAAATACCTGACAACTCTGGTGCTAAATGTCCAGAAGACAGCAGAGGTTTTGTGCTTTAGGAAGCACTTCCTTAATCATACATTTCCTAATGTTGTGATTTCTCACACATACGGCAATACAACCCTTCTGATTCTGAACCCTCCAGCCTTCTGAGAAGAAACTGTTTCAATATCACCTTCCTTCCAAAATAATTAACATCAGACTGTTATTACTGATTCACTGTGAAATTCTTATTGTACCATAACCTACTCCAATCTTTATACGAGAGGCTCGTTTAGAGGTTTGTGTGCTTCATTTTCATAGATTTGGAAGCCTTGTTCTGACTTGTACAGGTTTAAGTGTCTTGCTACAGGCTTCTGTTCCTCTTTCTATTTACATCTTCATTTTTGTCATGCGATTGTTTTGTTTTTCCCATGTTACTGTCTTTGCTCACTGTTAGCCCTACTTTCGGAACATTTATTTACTGAAATGTTCTTTGTTTTCATCAGTATTAATTTTGACAAGACATTTTAACCCTTTGATGCATAGTGGTCACTACAGTGGACAGGTACTCAAAATTGTTATTTATTTATTTTTGCTATTTAGCACAGCTGTTGAAGACTTTTTTGCATTTGAGCCCCTCCATTTGGACTTCAGTAAGCCAAGCCAACATATTTCATGTTCAGAATGCATGCTGTCCACTGACATGGACATGTAATAAATTATTTGTAAATTATAAAATTTTACAAAAAATATTTGTTGAAATTTGTTTCATTCACACCCAAAGACCAATGAAAAAAATTGTTTAAAAAATCATGGTTGAAGATTTAATAATTCATGCATCAAAGGGTTAATTTAGTTTGTCTTTTGACTAAAATTCTTTTTAATTTTAGTCACCATTTAGTTGTCCAATTTGTTTTCAATTTAGACTAAACTATATGTTATTTTTTTATGCTAAATTTTTCAACTTCTGTAAAGGAAATGGTAACTACACCTACTTGACACAGTAAAGAAACATGAAAAATTCTCATTTCACTCTTTGGATCAATGATGCTCTTTGTTTATAATTGTTTTTATAACTATAAATAACACTTACACGTTGTAATT